AAGAGTAAAAATTTTACACCACTTGGGACTGCGCATCTCGATTAGAGGCACTCCTGCGGCAGGAGTCCTGCCTCGACCACGCATGCACTCGGCGCCTAGTGGGGTGCGACCCTCTTGAACTCGATCCTTTTCTTTTGGAAGTTGGTCGTGATAGTGCTTGTAGAGGTTAGTACTGTAAGATCCCACTCTTGGCTAGGATCAGATGGGTAGACCTTGTCAGACTCCATTAGGCCAGTGTTTCTGAGGAAGCGGTCGAGCTCCACACGCCAATGATTCCCGCCGGGCCCAGGCTTCCCGAAGTCGAGATAGTAAGTGAAACCAGTAGCACTTCGTAGAAAGTACGGGCCAAGGGAAATAGAAGCAGGTTTCGGTATATCACCCCTATGATGCGGAGGCTTAGGCACGTAGATCGAGAATGTAACTTCATGATCCATGTTCACATCGTAAGTCATACTGAAGAGAGGTCCCTTGTAGACATACTTACCCGGCGGCAGGGTAGACATCACCCGCATAAACCTGAGCTCTCTCTTCCGGAAGCTCGTGGTGATAGAGTTCTTGCCGTGGTAGGTCAAGGTAACCAAGTCCCCAGGCTGGATCTCCGCCAGAGGGTTGAGGTCTTCGGGCTCAACAAGGTGAGCGTGTGCTAGCAAGAACTTGATTCTGTTGTACCAGTCATCAAAGCCCAGAGAATGCTCGTCCTGGAGGATGTACACAGAGCTCGCCTTCTCCGCTAACGGGAACGGCCACGCGACGTAGCAAGCACCGGGACTGAACGAGTAAATCACAGACTGGCTACTGGGACGCCTTGTTTCGGGTTCGCCACTCAGCGTGAAGGCAAAATCGAGTTTGTGGTCCTCGTACACATAGTAAGTCATAGTGAAGTCTCCGTTCTCGTAGACGTACTTGCCAGCGTCCTGAGCCACCGTGATGACTTGAGCCTGAACAACTAGTAGCCAGGGCAAGGCGGGGTTTCTCATGAAAAGAGAAGAAAAGTGATCGAGGAAACTCTGGAGGAAAAAATGACAAGCAGCCTGATGCTCTGATCTTCTCAGCGGGAGATTTTGGTCGATTTAGCGCCAATAACTGGCTGCCAATGAGGTTCAAGGAGGCAATTTCACCCGCAGAGAAAGAGACACTCAATGATTTAGCCTAGTTTCAGCTGTACTTGCGCCTTGCGAGCTCGCCGCGTGCGGCACGCGGGAAACTAGCGCCGCTGGCGCCCTGGCGCCGCCCCAGGCTGGCGCCATAAGTCGCAGTGTCGCGGACGTTTCCCTGGAAACGAGTGAGGGTCTTTCGTCGAGCCCCTTGGTCAGTAAACGGATTACAACACGATCACTTAGAAAACTAAAAGAGCATTTAAAGCATGGGTGTTATGCTGCCATGGGACGAGAGACTCGTCGAGAGTGGCCAATCCGTGTTGGCGATAAACTCCATCAGCTGAAATTAAGCCCGTGGGAGTCCCACGGTGGGACTCGCCCACTCACCGTTCACTGATCTCATTGAGCTCAGCGCAGTACCTGCGGATCGTCGGTGACGGTGCCGACACTATCCGACGGACGAGTTAATGTGGCCAAATATATGTGACGATCGCCTGGACGCGGTCCGGGACAGTGTTCCAGTCCGTATCTCACTCCGTGTTGTCTCCCGTCCGTGCTTATGCGTGCAGGGTGGTATGGGCATCAGCTATTTTCCATTGGCATTTCCATTCCACAAGCTCCCTCCGGCCTTGTGTTTCTCGTGTGAGATAAACCAATGGCTTATCTTGGTTCAAACCTGTGCGAAGTAGAGATGCGGTGGTAGTACCACCGCATCTCTTCGCACCGGGTACGTACCCGCATTGTACGTACACACCGTGGCACGTTGTACGCACAATAGGGCACCTCGTGGCTCAGTGCTCCTCCGGCGCAAGTCATAGACCTAGGGCTGTTTGTCGATAGGGCTAGATGGTAAGGCAAGCGAATGAAAGATCTCTCCAGCTCGGTTACTAATTTTGTTCTCGAGAATCTCTCAAGTTTCAGAATCTTGGTACAAAGCCCACGCGAACACAAATGTCGAGAGCGCAGTGCTCCCGAAGCATTGGCTTTTGAGCATCTCGGTTCAGTCAGCCTGACTGAGTCAGGTGAACCGATGAATGAGATGCCGAGAGGCTGAGTAGAACCTGTGGTGCCGTAGGTTCTGTGGAAGTATTAGCTCAACGGTGGAACTCTCCTCGTGAACCGTAGTACAGAACAAAACTGTGACCGGCGCTCCACGATTGCTCGGGAGCGCCGGTCACACCTCATTGGCAAGAACGAAGGATCACGAACTCCTTCTCAGCGATGAATTACAAGGAACAACGATTCTCGTGATCGGGATTAATGAGACGAACTCCCTATATTCAGGCAGGCGGATTTGATTGGCTTGTGCAAGTCTTGCACTGCAAGATGAGAGTCGATTCGCGAGCTGCATGAATCCGGCTGATTTAGTGCACATAGTCAGCATCGCAAGGAATAACATGCGACTGAACATTACAAGCTCCCTTGTGAACTGTGAAGCTAAAAACTTGGGGGATTTACGTCCGCAATGAGCCGGGTGGATGGAGCCCTGTATTACATGGAAAGCGCATCCAAGCATTCCTCATGGTCCACTGATCGTTAACGTCAGTAATGTGAGTGTTTTACTCGTAATTGGAGTTTGTATCGTTTCGACAGTGTTGAGATATGAAATTACCGCGGAGGGAACGCTATATGGCACGGCCAGTGCAATGATATGCAAGTGCTCATCCACAAGTACGTGATTACACTAAGACGTGCGTAATGCGCACTGTGTATGCTACAATGTGTTCCACGACCACAGGTTCATGGAGATGGCAGCGCACAGAGGATCGCCGACCAACGTACAGAACAGGTAGCATGGACCGGTGATTGACATATTGGGCGAGAACTTACGGGGAAGCTATCCAATGACGGGCGGTAGACAACAGAGACAGTAAGAAACTACGTATGGCCATGAACGGGCCGGAGCAAAGATCAGCGGGGAGAGTAAGTGAAATATGCAGCACAAATAGGCTTTGCCGCAACCACTCGAAAGAAGAGACGAAAAGAGCGGACTGAACGGAGTACGTGACCAGACTGCTTCAGTTTGACCACGAGGCGAGCGAGAGTTGGACTAAAAAAGCGCGCGCACTTTGGTTCGTCTACCACTGGGTATGGGCCATAGAACGAAAAAATGGGCAGCCCGACGGCCGATAGTTAGTTATTAGAGTCGGGGAAACGGGAAGTGGGCAAGCCCGACGGGCTCAGCATTGTCTGATAGAGTTCATGGTCACCGACGATTGTCCCATTGTCACATAAGACCTAACTTAGGTCTTATGTCACAACGAGGTGACGTAAGCTTTCAAATCTTCATCCTATCCTGAATCGGATCCTGCGAATTCCGAAGTTGCGATGATAATGTAACACCATAATATCACTGACGTTACTTCTCATTTTCGGCGAATCTTAGGAGGATTCTATGTGCATCATTCTGTCGGATTGAATTTATCCCCGACAGGTTTGACAGTCCGTTTGCCACGGCTCATAGAAGTATACGCCTTTGTCTGCAACCAACGAAGAGCTGCAGCACAGGGCCTTGCACCGGGCAGAAAAGAATTCATCGAGTATTGAACGCTCCTCCATTGGAACTTCGACGAGTCGTGTTCCGAAGATTCAAGATGCACGACTGTGACGTCGGCGGCTTTACCCTATTCGGACTGGTAGCGAACGTGACTCAACTCGTAAAACGCAAATGATATAGAATACGGGATTTGAAAAAGTCTTAGCTACTGCGCCTAGCAGAGGTCTCAGGTGACATTGCGGAATGACCTCGTGAGCTATGCTGAGTGATAGAAGTCTGTCATGGATACCATGATAATAGTCTTCCTCGTGTATCAGATACACTGTATCTGCCGAAGCAGCGCCCGAGGCATTGGACAGGGAGCCACAAGGCTCAAACATGTCAGCACGTTGTGCCCAGTAAGCGGCGCGCAAGAGCGAGGAAAAGACGGGAGTAAAAATGAACTGGTTACGCACCTCCGATGGAGAGAGCCAGGCGAGCCCTTCCGAGACTCACGAAGATAGTTTTCTCAGTGGCAAAGACCACTTTCGATAGGTCGTCAGCATCCAAACGTATGGTCGGGCAAACATTCCTGACCTGGTGGAGGAATTGGTATAAGGTACCAGCGCCGGCCGGCTCCACAGCATAGTGATCGTATAACAGACCCCTAGTGCGGCGGGAAAGCTTGAAACTTAAACGAGAGGTTCGACGCTCCTTGCACTTAACCCTCATATCTCCATACTCGTCAGAGCGTATTCTGTAACTCACCTCGAGATAGGGAGCCGCTTTCTGCTTGAAGACATACTCGCCCGGTGTCAGGCTGCCTCCGACCCTCATGAACGTGATGTCTTCATTCCGGAAGGAGGTTGAGAAAGTGTCACCGCTTGTATAAGTCAGAACGGTCAAGTCCTCAGACTGAATACCACCGTACGGCTCAGAATTATCGTTGTCAATGACGTTGTTCCTCAGCAGTAACCTCTCAATAGACTTATACCAATCATGGGCACTGGCTCTTGGCCCTTCAAAGTCAATGGCGTAGGTGAAACTGTCGGTCTTTGACAAGGGGTATGGCCCGTGAGTGAACTCCTCAGGAGGCTTCCTAATGACACTGAAGCTGAAAGACGTTCGGTCCGGAGACCACCTCCCAGGGGGACTCGGAACCCAGAAAGTAAAAGTAGCTTCATGTTTCTCATCCACGTCGTAGGTTATACGGTAGTCTTCCGTCTCGTGAACAAACTTGCCAACATCCTGAGCTGTGGCGACAATAACTAGGGCTTGAGTCATTAGCAACCAATTCAGGGAAAAGCTCATCGTTTGGGACGTGAGGATGTCAGCCACAAATGTACTCGTAAGCTGACACGAAGACCTAGGGAGTCGGTAGGCCGGGTAAAGAGGGGGCCTCACGTTGGCTGACGTGAGTGAAGGCCGTTAGCTATATGGGTAAATCGATCAACTTTGTCTACTGCGCACAATCATGCTGTCTCGAATTCAATGGTTCCACCACACGCCCCCCCTCGCAGGAGTTAGAAACCTGCGGGCATATGTGGTTTAAGACGAGAATCGAGCTCTTCTAAGGTAGTAGACGAAATGTATTTTAAGTATTTCAAATGTATAATATGCTTCCGTGAATCAGGCATCAAAATACGATAAATGAGAGGTCACAACTGATTAAGAACGCACAAGATATGGCCGTTCGTGCCTCTTTACATTTTCCGCATTAACCACAAATCACCTTGGGTGGGTAGGGGGCGGTTGGGAGAGGCTGGGGGCTCAGTCGGAGATTGTGCTTCAGGCCGATATCGTGGCGAGAGTCTTGGAAAAATCCAAGGCTCATACGTGAATCTATACCAGAATAGGAGAACATGCAACGATTGTCATCGTGCGTCAATTTTCACTTTTATATTTGTTCGTAGCGACTTTTTCCCCGAGTTTTCGTATGTGTGTTCTACTGTGTGTCCTGCGTGATCTCCAATCATTCATGCATAACCCTGTGTATCATCTACGTTAACTCAACTCTAAATCGTTGATGTGCTTGCGTGCTATTGGGTCTTAAAACGTCCGTGACATAGCTTACGAGTGAAAAAACCTCGCATTTCGCGCACGATTATACCGGTTTTCGATTCAGTCAAAAAGGATATCTTTACTATTCTTCGCAGCAAGTAGTATGTATGTTGTGCACACAGTACTGGTTCAATCTATGGCCAATTAATTATTGATCATGCTTTTGGAGTCACGCAGATTCTGTGACTTAGCTTTCCCATACAAAAATGCGCTGTTTTATGGTTTTGCACGCAGTATCCGCATATCCGAGAGAAAAATTCCGATAACATACAGCTCATCGTATTTTGCACATGCAGATGGCTCCAATTTTCGCATGCGAGCCCCGTTGCAAGTTTGGTACACAATGCAATGCCATTCATTAATAATATTATGCGTAGTTGAGGTTCACGTGATATTCCCGTTCTCCGCTGTGGTGGAACCATTGAATTCGAGACAGCATGATTGTGCGCAGTAGACAGAGTTGATCGATTCGCCCCATATAGCTAACGGCCTTTATTCACGTCAGCCAACGCGAGGCCCCTCTTTACTCGGCCTACCGACTCCCTATGTTGCGTTCCGAAGTCAGAACTGAGGAAAGACGACTACATGGTGCCCAGACCCCTCAAGAAGCTTCGGTGTCCCCAAGGAACGCTTTGGACATTAACAATCATCTGAGGGCAATGTTTGTCGACGACCCCGAGGGCGGCGGTCAGCATATTTCGAGTAGCCCCTCAAGGACCCCTCGCCATCGTCATGGCCTCAGGATTGAGGATCATCCTCCCCAAGACCTTCCTCAGCATCCCATTGCACAAGCAACCCCCCTGCCGCGGCCTACTACTCAGAGTGTCGACCCGAGTGCTACCGCGGCTGCCTTTGGAGCTCGGCCATCACAGCCAAGAGACAACAGCGATGTTCAGGCATGTGTGAATCCACCCGTTTTCGCAAGTGACTTTTCAAGTAGCGGGGGAGAAATAGGTTTCAAGGCTCCTAAGTTGGCCTTATATAGCGGCGAAAGGACCGCTGATGCGATGTCGCTCGACGAGTGGCAGGCGCGCTGGTGTTCGATAGCCTGATCTAAGAAGTGGACCCCAAAAGAGAGAAGGTCCAACCTAATCAATAGTCTGACAGGTAAAGCCTATCGACTATTGTCTAAGCAAAACTTCGATCCCTCCCTGGATGACGAAGCCGTTGAGCGTGAAATTTGGCTCCGCCTCCACCGATCATTCGGTCAGGGGGAGAAACAGAGCTTTAAGAAGTTGATTGCCATGCACTTTAGCATTGGCAAAGATACTAATGATTGTTACGGAGCCGATATCCGACACAACACAGTGCTAGCATTCAAGGATCTTGACTCTCAGAGTCATGAAAAAGTTGCGGCGACTTTCTACTGGAACAGTTTGCCACAGACTCAAGCTGTCAAGCAAAGCTATGGCATGTGGTCGGCCTTGGCTCTCAAGGAACGAGCTTTGCCTAAAGCCATTGATCTCACTCGTCCACTTTTTGAAGTGGAGGATGCCGGCACTTCCACTCAAGCACAGGGCCAGGAGGAGCTAGGTGCTGTCGCATCGGTTCCTGCCAAGGGCCAATATTCGTATGGTGGAAAGAAAGGCGGCAAGGGATCCAAAGGATGGTCTTCCAATTCGTCTCCTAGTAAAGGAACCAACTATGGAAAGGGGAAAGGGAAGACCAAAGGACGAGGCAAAGCTATGAGAAGTTCTCGGTATACGTGGTTCGGTGGCTGGTCAAATCAACAGCAATGTTATGTGTGCGGAGGCTATGGCCATTGGGCCAGTGTATGCCCGTCCCGAAAGATTACAGATGACAGGCAAGAGCCAATAAAGTAACCACCCCTAGCCTTGCTTCGAGTGTATTACTTATAGTTCTTAAGGGACTATACCTCCTGATTGATTCTGGTTGTTCCATCACCATCCTGTCATCCACTTCAGGCTTTAGTGGCAGCACTCACGCTAGTGCTGGTCATACAAAGTCGATCAATACTATATTCCAGAAGTCTTATCAATGTCAAGTCTTGACCAATATCAGTCTTCCTAGCGATTTTCAATCGGAGACGACTGTGGTGTTACGGGAGGTCTTAGTCACAGACCAACCGTTAGTTGCTGTATGCCGGCAACATAGCAATAATGAACCGTCGGATAGAATTATTTTGGCCGGGATTCTCGGCTTAGATTGGATAAAAGCAATTGGAGGTATAAGTATTCGCTTCTCAGGGAATCAGCCTAATATTGACCTTCTCGAGCCGAGGTATCCTGAGACATCTACGATGCCTCACGATGATCTCTGTTCTGTGAGTTATAACACTCTGTTTACCATAGACACATATAAGTGTCATATTGGGGTTCAAGTTACTGACGGCCGTGATGCCATTGACAGTCACATTGGCTGTGACGTGGAAACTGAACGCCCACTGCATCATGGGAGCCCAGTGACACGTGAATTGCACGCGTCAGATGTTACAGTTCGGCGACTTGGTCTCCCAGAATCTGACGAAGGAGCCATTTGGGAGCTCCATTGGAATTGGGTTAACTCGTCAGAACCATCCAAGCACATCATGCCTCCAGATTATGATGTCTTCAGCAGGAAGACACCAGAGATTATTGAGCTTTTTAAAGCTGCTATCGAGCAATGGAAGGAGTCCGATTGCATAAAGGAGACTCCATTAGAAGAGTTGAAAGCAACTCATCCATTGCTATGCGTTGAGCAATTACATAAGAGTACTACACCCGTCCGGCCATGTTGCGATATGCGATGGGCCAACGAGGCAATCTGTAGTACCCCCAATGAGCATCGAGATACGCCATTGGCATGCATTGAGAATCTCAGACGGTGGAGCTCCTTCTCAGTTGAGCCTCCGGATGAATTGGTGATGATTGATTCGAAAAAGGCGTATCTCTGTATCTTCATTGATGAAGATCAGCCTTATTGGCTCGGAATCCGGTTACGTTGGGAGCCACATACGGCTTACCGAATAGTGCGAATGCCATTTGGCCTCAATGTAGCGCCAAAGACTTTGGCTCTAATACTAAACGATATTCGACAAATGTGCATCCCACTGACAGTTATCTTCGACATATACGTCGATGATATCATCACACAGCGATCATGGGCCCAAGCCATTAGAGATATTCTGTTACGTAACGGATTTCCCAGCAAAGAGCCTACCCCTCTCAAAGAGAGCAGAGTCCTCGAACTAGAACGCCAACGAGATGGCACTTGGCGTCGAAGAGGCGATTTACCTCTGTTAGATTGCCGAACATGTACTCGGCGTGAGATTCATAAATGGGCAGGCAAACTCATTGGACATTATCCTATCGCTCGTTGGGGAAGACCCGCAGCGGCTTCGCTTAAGAGATTAGCGACTCTACGAATCCCCAGTAAAGAGTTTTCGTGGGATTCACCAGTAGATAGCCATATCCTCACAGCATGCGAAAAACTCATGAGCGATACAGTCCAGCATGGTGATCCCATAGGAGGCATATGGAACTATAATGCAAATCAGGAGTGGGTGGTATACACTGATGCTAGTAAACATGCCTTGGGCGTGGCACTCACTATCGGCGGTGTCTATGTCGAGGACAGCAGACGCCTTCGTAGTGTCCGCGATTGCCGTCACATAAATCTGGCTGAACTTGAAGCTGCTATACTCAGTCAGCAGCTCATTGGCAAGTATATAACTGCTCTAAACTGTGAAGCTGGAAAAAGGTCACATTAAGATGTGACAGTCATAGGCTATGACTCATAGCGTTGTGGCTTGGATTACACGCCACCAAGAACGCCACTGGAGAGCCGTTCACGGTCTCAATGCAACCCTGGTGGAAAGTCGTCTTAAGACCTTCCAGGATACTTGCACCGCATTGAGAGTTACCCTCACAGTAGAGCTTATCCCTAGTGAGAGCAATCTGGCAGACAAGTTAAGTCGGATACCGCAGTATTGTATTTCTCCATCTTCTCACAGTGCAGATGAGACCTGCGATGAAACTATAGCAGCACTGATTCAGTCCAGTTCGTCCGCTACTTCATCAGACGAACGAGACGAACATGGTAGACTGATCATGTCGTGGGGATCAGAACTGAAGTATGTAGCAACCATGTTGCATGAACATGAGGGAGCGAAGTCTCTGTATGAGCGTATGCGACGCATTGTTCGTTGCCCATCCCTCAAGCAACACTGCAACGAGTTTGTAGCGAGTTGCGATGTCTGTGCTACGGGCAAGATCACTCGATCC